CTAATTGCCCTATACCTCAATGTAAATCGAGCTGCAAAGAACAAGCTAGTTCTGACAAAAATTTGAGCGTAAAACCCTATTCCTTGATCAGCTGCTGCTTTAAACACAATTTATAAAGCAAACCAGAGCACTAATTGCCCTTTGAAACTAGAAATCGTATTAAAGCTTGCTCACCAGTTAGGTCCTCTTGAACAGACAACGAACAGCTCCACACTGAATCACCCAATCTTGAACCACGAGTTGTAAATACAAGACCATGACGTCACTACCTTAATATGGGGTCTTACTTACACCCAAATATGGTCAAAAATGCAAATGTTAGAGGGTTACGCAGAATTTGAGAGTTTTTGCCTACATTGCGCGGCGTTATGATTCTGCCGCCGAGTCAACCTCGCTTCTTAGCTCGGTTGCCTCGTTGGCAATTAATTATTTTATTTCATCATTATTTTCCATTTTAATTTTTATGCATTTAAGACATCTAAAAAAATCATCAAAAAATTCTGCATAAATTATTCAACCAATGACTAAGTCTTAATTGAGTCTAATTTTTGATTGAATGAAATCTTGGCTATGCATTTAATAAGAAAAAGGGCGGAAATAAACGAAAAACATGCTTTCAACCCGACTGCGAAGAGTACTTGAACACATGCAGGAGCGTAGCGTGACCATTTTGACAAATACGCACACGGGTCCACATAGTTTTAAAACCTTCACACAAAATAACGTTTTTGCTTTCCTTTAATACATAACTGGCAGTTTACAGGCTTGTTTTCAATAGTGAAAAAACGTTCTTCTCTGAGCTGGTAAAAGAATGTTTACGAACACAAGGCGAGGCGCCTTTTTTTGTAGAGAAATTTGGAGTTTAAAAGCATCCGTTGGAAGAATTGCGGCTTGTACATGTTTGTGTAAATTTTCCGCACCCTTTAAGTCCTTTGTTGAGTTTTTTAGTTTTTCCCTTAGTTCGATCATGAGCACGGGAAAGGAACAAACAATTGATAGTCAGCATTTATTTATTTTCAGTTGTTCTGAATATCTCTAAAGCTTGTCATCGCAAAAAATACTACATCTGTTCGCAAGGAGTAAATTTTCTGCACAATTCTTGTTGAGACCTATACCTATTTACTTTTTCTGACTCAAAGTGCGGAGCGATTTTCGTCTTGTCATGTGCGGAATTTCGGGGACGTCCAGCGACTTCTAAGAACTGTTTAAAAAACGAGCAGGAGTGTATATTATCAGGTTTAAAAACTCGAGGCGAAGCCGAGAGTTTTTACAACTGATAATACATGACTGCGAGTTTCTTGAACGGCTTCAAAACCCCTGACATAGATCAAATCATTCTTACTCTAATATTTAGATTTGGGATTATTTTGATCTAACAAAACAGACGTTAAGTTTAGCCGTGTCTTTATCAGATATAAAGACACTCGACACTAATTATACCTTAATTTCTTTTGTTTTTTTGTTATGAATTAATAATTTTAAAAATAAATAAGAAAACGTCTTCTGAAATCTTTCAAAAACTCATTATTAATTCATAAAAGAAAAATAAGGTTTAATGTGTATCTTTATATCTGATAAAGACAAGGCTAAACTTTACGTCCATTTTTTTTAAATCAAAATAATCCCAAATCTAAATATTAGTATTATCAATCACATGCCTGCATATTGCGCTGTGCGTGACTTCAACGAAACGCTTAAACGCGGCGGATATCGGAAAAAGAGAATCGAAACAGCAGTGAAAGGTTAACCAAGCGAAACATGCATGAATAGTTGATATTACTTTCAGAGGGCGAAGCGAAAACACACTAACATGGCGTCGGGTTATCTAGCGCTGTATTTCGGGGTGATACTTCTCTTATTTCTCGTCTCTTTGGTATCAGGTAGGCCAGTTTTATCTGTTACGAACTATCCACATGCCATTTAGGGTCATTTTGGCTTGACTACATGCAAACATTCGTTTAGAATAGTGGCCCATCGAGATATTAGCTAGATATTGCTTCCTGCTGTACTAAAAAATAACAGAGTCCCGCTTCTTAAAGTAACATGTCAGATTTGTACTGTATCGGTGAACAAAACCTGTAATTCTTTGTTTGCTGTTGGGAAGCTCGAGAAATTGGCGAAATGTTGCTTTACTTCATTTCAGCTTCTATAATAAAAGAATCTACGTAGTTACTTCCTGTCGTATCGTGATTAAGCAGTTTTGTTTTGTTCGTTACTTCAGAGTTGCTCATAGAATCCAAATCTTCTCGAACTGACAGACTGAAGTGCCATGCCTAGCATTTTAACACTGAGAGCTGATTTGGAAATGCTATGATTGATCACAAGCGCAATGCATCACTTGCATCGAAATGCAATCAACTACCGACTCTAAATTCCATGAAAATTTTTTGATGTCGTGGGTATAAGCACTTTCTAAGAATACTTTCACACTAAATGAGCTTCCCTTGCTAGTTCATTTGCAAATTCCTGAGATAATTCAAAAATTCAATGGCAATACACAATGTAGTTCTAAATTTATTGTGAACAAACATTCTCAGCTAACTTTGTTTGTTTCCGTAACGATAATTTAGTACCATAAATTTCCCTATCCGAACCAAAATAGGTATGCAAATATTAAGGACGTCGCTATTGAGTAACACTTCACTGATTTTTTGTTTTATGAATAAATGACGAGACCACAAAATTTTCAAAAAAATACCAGTAGGTTTAATTTTCAATAATATCCTTTGAAGCATTGCTTATAAGTGCCTTTAATGTTTTCCTAACAGCGCAGATTAAGTAAATTGTCCCCAATGTAACGATATTAAAAATATCATTATTAATTAAGGTACTATTTATCAAGTAGGTTAATAAAACATTTTCAACTTTGGAATTTACGTGCGGGATCATATTGAGAACATAAATTCGTTGTACTTGAATGAATCATGACGAAATTTACCGCCTTTAAAGGGTCTATATATGTCTCGCTGGTTTCTTTTCAAGAAAGCTAAAACTTTTTTCGCGTCATTCAATTGAATTCCATCTCAACAATGACCCAGTTTTGTTATTTAATTTAAGACTATATTTAGGCGTTGCATGTTTTTTCCTTCCGTTGTTGCAAGGGCCGTTGACACAAAGATGGACATGGATTGAGTTGTACGAACATTTTCAAGTTTTAGCCGGGGTTTTAGCTCTGTTGAGACACGGCCCGGGGACTTTTGAGCTCTACCCCCTCTAACTAAAAAAATTGAATAACTTAATACACGTTTTAGCTATGACCGCCAAACTTAGCGACTTTTCCTACAATTTGTCTGAGAGTTTAAATTCTTCTTCACGTGTACGTAACCATTAACGTTGCCACAGCATTGGAGATTTGCATTTTTTCCATAAAAAAGTTTTATTCCCTTTTTACTGATTAAATTTTTTTTGTTAATCTTAATTTAGCACTATTTTATCAAATTTAGTATAACTATTAATGTAATTCAGGCTTTTTACTGACTAAATTGAAGAAAAAAAAACATGGACTTAAAATGACCAAGTGGCATAAGTTGATTCAATTTTCAACAGTGTTTATTTTTTTCTGGGAATTCCATAACTTGCAGATTTCTTTGCTTCCTAAGCATCTTAATTTATACCCAGATCAAATGTTTATCACTAAAACTTTGATTCTAGTTTTAAGTTAAACGGAATATATATGTATTTTTTGGCTTTATGGTCATTTTGAGAGAGAGGATTCTGCCATAAATTCAGCAATGTGACGACATAATGATGTCAATTACGTCATTGTGTAAACAAGTTGTGCTTAGATTTTAGTTTTGATGAGTACATTATTGTATGTGTAATTTTGGTGGCCGTATCGTGAGCGGTGTGGAAGTCATAGAGCGGGGCCTCGGAGCCCCCTCCCGGTCACAGGAAGGAAGAAAAAGCCCTGTCTGAAAAGAGTTTATGCTATGCATAAAAAAAAAAACGAAAGTTATTATCTAATACTACCTGATTAATTTTGTTTGATAACTTGTACATACCCCTTGTTTGCCGCCCAAAACTTTCAATAACCTTTGTCTTTAATTTGCTGGGGTTTTTAAAGCTGTATTATAGGAGATTTGTAAATGGCAGTAGATCTAAAAGAGGATATTGTATCATTACAACTGGATTAGGAACAGGGCTTCGAAACAATCTATGTATTTTGCAAGTACAGTTTTTTACTAGGCCTCATAACGTCACATAAAAATCATGAAATCCATTTTTAAACTAGGTAGATGGTGGTGTTTATATGCGGGTGGGGGCTTATAATCGGAATTTCGTTTTTGGTTTGCAGGTAAAAAACCGGCATTATAACAGGGTGGGCATGCAGGAGGCTAAGAAGTGGGGGTGGGGGTGGGATGTGGTCGCTTAGAATAGGGATAGATACATACATTATGCTGGAAAATAAGCATCCTGCTTTTGAGCGTCACCCTCAAAACAACAGCATAATGCCTGAAATTATGCTCTACAAGTAGCATTATGCTCGACTGAAGCTCCGGCTGTATTTGACGCCCTTTTCCATCCCTGCAGACCTGAATACAAAATTTTATTGCATCAGTTACAAATTTCGAACTGGCAGCCATGATGGATAGACAATTAGCCAGTATTAGCAGCCTAACAAAATGATGCAACGGTGCAAAAAGACATTACGAAGTAGCAATCAAGCCTTTCAGCACGCTAATTCTCACTAGCTTAAAGCACTTGGAAGCGAAAATTTCTCAGTACAGTTATCATACTTATGTAATTATTATTTTTTTTTTTTTCAGTATCATTCTCTTTATGCTGAAAAAAAAATGGCCCTTATGCCGGTATTATGCTTGATGGTCCGACTATAGCATTATGCCCAAAATTATGCCGGCATAATGTATCTAACCCTAGTTTAGAAGATGCAGTTTACGGTGACCCCTTTAATTTTTATGCTACTGGCTCCTGATATTTAGGTGACTAAGCGTGAAAAAGGTGTTTATTTATTTATTTACTTTTTCTTTGGGTATTAAGGAGACTGTATTGATTTGGATCTTGGAATTGGAAGTGGAAATATCTCAGATAACGATATAACCGCCTCCTCTGGGGTATCAGAAGCCAAGAATGGACGTTTGAACGAAATAAAAGCATGGTGTGCGTCTACAGGAGAAGCTAATCCTTATTTACAAATAGAACTGGGAACCATCCATATTGTCTGTGCTGTGTCAACACAAGGAAATCCAAATGCAGATCAGTGGATAGAGACCTACACAATCCAGGTATCAACAGATGGAACAAACTGGACAAATTATAAGGAACATGGTCAAAACAAGGTACGTTTCTGCATTCCTTCCACTTTATCTATGCCAACTCTTGTATAAAAAACAACAACAACAACAACAAAACCGATAACAACTACAAACCAAATAGAGTGATTTTCGTATGACCTTGAAATGAAAACACGCGAACAAAACAGAAATAACAAACGAACAGAAATAGAGTCATTTGATTGGTTTATCGGACGGACATAACGTGCGTGGCTTTTGGTTGGTTAAGCGAACGCTCTGTTGAGAAAACGTTATGCCCGAGAACTTTCTAGAAAGTAATCGATAATTCGCTTTGACGTCATACTGCAACACGACTGGCCAAAAAACTCGATTAGAATAACTGGTTAACCAGTTTAACCTAATGACAATAAAAACGATGTTGATTGCAGTAATAATGGCAATGACATGAGTAATCGAAAGGACAATGATAAAAGCACTATCTGTAAAACTGACAATTTCAAACTTCCCTGATTGTTGACGAAATCCCTATGGAAAATAGCCATGTTGTTCTTATAAAAACCCTGGGTAAATGTATGTGCGTACTAGCTATTTTCCCTGTTTTGAAATGTAATAGATTGACTGTATCTATTTTGACGGTTTAATATGGCTGAACTGTTGTATTGTGATTAGACTTTCACAGGTAATAAAGACAGAAATACAGAGAATAAAAACATCTTCTCTGAGGGTGTTTTAGCGAAAAGGCTGAGATTCGTTGGCCAAACAAGTCACAACAGGTTCTGTCTGAGAACAGAAATATACGGAGTAAAACTAAAGCCAGGTAAACGATTTTTGCTTATAATTACCCCGGAGGAAGGGATACCCCTCGGAGTTCTTGGTGATTTGTGCCTCCCGGCTTTTCCAGTAGGCCCGGATTCTGTTTCAGATCAGAAAGGGAAAAAGGTCGACTTCCGGTTGCACTGACATGCGTCGTTCAAAAATACTGAAATGTCGTGATGAAATACAATCGTAAATGGTTGGAAATTCGAAAACTTCCGGAAAATCCGACGAGAGATCTCAACATCGTCCCCAGAGTCTTCTCATTGGAAAACGAGAAGACCCTGGGGTTGAGGGAGAGATCTTGGTTCCAGACCTCACGCTGACCGCAAATTTTAAAATGGCCCCCAAAGAGAATGAATACATGAAGTAAGTTATCTTTATTCAGTTAGTCGAATTTTAGAACTCCCTGTGTTATTTTCGCTTCTACGCGACCTTCGAAATTGAGGCCGCTTGGAAGTCGAATGATAAAAAGAGAGCTAGATGTCGGCGTGTAGAGTGGTTTGATTGAGGCCGGGGAATCATAGGTACTACCGAAAGAATAGAGGGCCCAGTTGTTCGAAGGCCGATTGGCACTTAACCAGGGTTTCATTTTCTTGTGTTCAAAGTAATTTTCTCGGGTAATTTTCTTTGTTATTTTTAGAGGTTCCAATCATTAACTTGTTGACCAAAAAAATTAAAAATGAAATGCTTTTTAAGCTTTCAAATGTAAATGCAAATCTCGTACTAACCGTGGGTTATCTTAACCCAGCTTTTGAACAACTTGGCCCAGGGATACTCAGGTCCACCTTGTTGAGAGGCTTTGAAGAATGTTTTATACAGCAATAGACGCTTTTGTTATTTAATGATATGATGATAAGTGGCCCTGTGTCTGGAGGTAAATCTATTTCCAAAGTGCTGTTTATCATGACAGTGGAATCATTGTTTTAATATCCATACCTTCTGCCTCTGGTTGAGGACAGATGGAATTCTTTAGGGGTAAGTAACAAAAACTGGGGATTTTTTGGGGGGTAGAGTTAAAAAAAAACAAAAACAAAAACAAAAACAATATATGAAATAGTTCCATTGTTTGGGGGTGAAGATTTAATTTTCATGAAATTCTTCAGAGGTGGAACCATAATTTTTGGGGGGGTAGATTGAGCCATACTCATCCAGGGTACACCCATATTCTTCAAGGGTAGGAACCATATTGTTTGGAAGTCTTCAGGGGCTGAATGCAATTTTATTTAATTTTTCAGGGTTGAGAAGTAAAGTTATGTTCTCAACAGTGGGGTGAGGGGGTACGGTTATTAAACCCAAGAGCCCATTGTTAAAGAAAATTTTAATTCACTTCTTTTTTTTCCCCCAAATCCTGCCCTTCATCATTTTTTCAGCAAGAAAACAATTGAGCTGCCTTGCTATGAAGTATAAGACCTACATGTCATACTTGGGACTT